CTAATATTAGAAAATCTATCATACACTGAAAACTAGTTACTGCTAAGAGTTTAGTTTTATAAAATTGGAATTAATTCCTCGTAAAAACACCATTTGGAAATAGCTAAAATTAAATATCCATTTCCAATTCAATTGTTTTTTTTTCGCCAGTTTTCGTAGAATACCATTTGGAGCAATATTCAATTATTCTTTTACTATTTTATGAATTTTCGTGTTTTTTAAATATCAAAAAATCTGAATTTTTGAAAGTCTAACTAAATTCATCAATTAAAATACCATAAAGTTATTAGGATCAAGCAAATGAATAAAAGTTTATAATAAATCTATAATTTGAATGTTACTCCAAATAGTGTTCTACGAAAATTGGCCAAATGTTAACTTCCCGTTATACAGTAAGTGTTCTTGTTTTCATCTTTCGTAAATCATCAATTTATCTTCTGGAAAAAGAAAGGAAAATTTGCAACTTAGTCGCTTATTTTTTTCCAATCTTTTTGATAAAATAAATAAAACAAATAGTGCTGAAATTTCTATGGAACATAAAATTCTTTTCGTTTTCATCATTGATGATTTTTAAAACCACCCAGAAAAGGAAATCATCGTTTGAAATATATGCAATAATATAAAATTTTATTCTAGAATCATGATATTAGGTATGTACAATGAAAGAAAAAACAATCAGGTATGTATAGTGAAAATTAAAAGCCTAATTGAGCTTATTATCTGCTTGCTGCTTCGGTTTTATGGACACTGAAAATCATATAAAACTGATCAATTACATACTAGCATTGGATAACTGGATAACCTTATTATTTGCTTATTAAAAGAATTTAAAAAGTGTGGTATCTTTGAAATTGAGAAGATTTGAAATGCAACATATTTTTTTTCTAAGAAATACGCTGGAGTAATGAACAGTAAAAGAAAGGTAATACTTACCTTACATTGTTATCCTCGACACTACAACCATATCCATAACCGACTTCTTTTAGCTCTGGAAAACTAACTCTACAACATGGCAAAGTGGCTTTTAAACTTTGTACTGCACTTGCTTGTTTTGCTACGCATGGCAGAAAATAAAAATGCGCTCGCTGTAATCCGCGTATTCGTTTAATCCCTTTGATGAAATTATCGCTGATGTAAGGATTTGCGACAATCTCCTGAAAATCTATTCATGATTTGAATAATTTCCATCTTTTCAGTAATGGTCTATATTTTGTACTCTCATTCATAACAACTATTTCTTCTAATTAAATTATATGTTAAAAAAATTGAGAAACTTGCTGCGTGAGATAAATAAATAACATTAGAAACAAACAATGTTCCTCAAAGTTCGTGAAGGTCGCCCCGAAACAAGATGTTCAATTGCTCTATCAGTGAAGAAGTCACAAAAATTCAATTTCAAGATTTCTATTTGTCGGCATTCTTTGAAGTACTGGAAGCCTGAATCACCAACAGCTGAATCAGTCGCATCGACCTAAGGAAATTTCGAAAAAAGATAAATATAAAATTACACTTTTACCGAAAACTATCCTAATCCCACATGCAATTAATGAAATTGTTTGAATTATTCTGGAAATTAAAATTAAAACATTGAATTTTTGAACTCAAAAATCATATATGAGACAAAGCAAATGTTACCAAAATAGTGAATATTATTTTGCGAGCTGACCTTAACAACATATGTATTCGGCTTCTTAGCCCATCGCATTTCATAAATCGCATCAAGTTTTTTCGTACTAATTGTCGGCAACACTGGGCTCCATTTAAAGGAAATCGTAGGAATCGGCTAAAGAATATTAAATTTTAAAAATGCAGTTTTGATTCAAATCAAAATTCTTAACGGATACAAATCATATTTTAAATCTTACAATGCTTCTAATATTGAAACCAAAATCACTGATATAACGACGCATGTCTGCTCTGCAGGTGATTGATGTTCCATCACTCATTATAACCTGTAAGATAAATTTACCATTCAGATCCAGCTTTTAAGGCGTCCTTTTTTATTTCAAATGAAATGATATAAAGTAAAGAAAATAAAATGACGTGAAGTGAGACTTACAAAATTACAAAATATGATAAAAGAACATATTTTTATGCCACTCTTTCGTCAAATTAATTGTTGTATTATTGAGAATGCAATGAAAAGAAATTAATAATACCTCAGTAGAGCCGCATTCCATTAGCCATTCTAAGCAAGCTAACTCGGGACCAAAATACATCACACGATCAATCCGAAATCTAAATCAAGTTTAAACAATTTAATTATATCCAATTATTAGTTAATGGTAGATAATTGACCTATCTAGAAGTCAATAAAATTCATATCCGACTACAATCAGATTTTGAATCATTTCAATAAGACAGAATTTATTTTTAATGGACATTAATATACTATATTTTAATTTATTATGTTATGTATCAAATTCTTTTTTTATATGAAAGCAAAAATCTTAGCTAACGAACCATTATCAAATAAGATGGAACACGTAAAAGTTAATCAAGCTACCTGTTCGAAAATTTATCAGCGAGTAATTTCTTGACATGAAGATTTCTGACTGATGAAATTTGCATGGTGAAGGATTTAAGCGATCGTAATGAAATGGTCACTCTAAATACGGATGAAAATCTGCATGATAATGCAGTAAATTCCACCATAACTGCGTAAGTGATGACCTGAAGAAAGTGAACAAATGAACAAATGACAAATCAAAAGGTGCATCACTCAACCACGTAATAAATCCTCTGGAAAAAAAAAACTTTCACAGATAACCGGGAGGTCGGAACTATCGATAAATCTCGGACGACTCCGGGACGATTTTCCATTCAATTTTAACGCTTTATTTGAATTATTCCTCACATGTCACTTCCATCCACTTGACTTAATATCATAATGGTACGTACACGGGAACATATGTGAAATGAAATGCATCAAACAGAGTAAACAATTTATTATCTCACTTTGAGTTCCAGATCCTTATATCTCCACTTCAATCAAACGAAGAGTTAAATTTTATCAATTGAGAATATATCAGTTTGTGAAAGCATCTTAGGCTGGTACAGCTTCATATGATTTTATTTCGCAACTTTTTTGATTGCGCAACTTTTTCCAAATTTTTTGAAATGCTCTTATTTCTAAATTGCTACTGTTCAGCAACAGCATATAAGAACACTCTCAACTTGTACATCATTAATATCAAAAGAAACACTATTAAATTTCAATATAAAAAAAAAACAATAAGTGATGAGTGATGTAACAATAGAAATTCTTTCCCAATTTAAAATCAAATCAAAACAACAGAGTACAATAATAGTTGGAAAATCTATTACTAAGTTAAACTTAATCTCATGATTCATTTTCAAATTTCCCACTTTCGTTTTACCCAGCAAGTTTTGTCATGCTGTGAGTAGAAGTATTGAGATTCTCACCGTTTTATGTTTTCATGTCTAAGATAAGGCTCTTACACAAGTTAAGAATTAAAAATACACTAGTTTCTCAAATGTTATATAATCCTTTTTTAAAAAAAAAAAGTATATGAGAGAGAATTATCCACAACTTCTATTGGGTTATACTCACCATAGTAGTGAAAAAGTGGGAAATTTTTAAGATATCGCGAAGCCTAATCATTTATAAAATCAAATTTCATCAAATGCAACGAAAAAAAGATTTAGAGTGTAAGAATGCAAAAGAAAAAAGTAAATTTTTATTTAAACCTCTCAGAAATAAAAAAAAAGCTAACTGAACTTGTTTTTCTTTAGCTGAGGTTCTAATTCCTCAATCCGTATTTCACAAACTGTTCGTTGAGCACAACTTCGCTCATTATTACTGCTCTTATCGCTGCATTCTTTTATTTCTTTCGGTTCCTTACTGTTGGCTTCTTCAACTCCCAATTTCTGGGTATCAGAAGAAAACAGAAATTCGTCAGGCAATTGAAATGTGGCACAAAACATCTTCTTACGCCCAGCAACATTTCGAACAAGACGCACTTCAGTGAAATTTAACTTCGAGACACTGGAAACTAAACAGTTGACACAGTGATCTAAATTTTTTTCTATTGCTTAATATATGATTTGGGCTTCAATTATGTAAAATTGTGAAGAAAAGTTCCTCTTTACAGATTTAAGCGCCTTAAATAAATGACCAAATAAAAATATTTGTTTCAGTAAGCGAAATTAAATCAATAGGAAAAAACTTGACAAGTTTTTCATTGCCAGTAAAACAAACCCAAGACTCTTGCGTATCAAATTTTGCGCTTCACTGAAGTACCAGTTATCTTCCAGATCATCCGGTGCTTTCACAAAAAAATGGCAATGCACGTAGAACGGAAATGGAAGGGTAATGTCTGCAACAAAATTACAATAAAATAAGTTATGGTAAAACATCAATTTTTGCACAATTCGTGTACACTAACCTGACAAATTGGGTTTATCACGTAGACATCCTCGAAAATAAGGAAGGAACTGTAAGGACATGCCTGGCAAATTCATTACAACGTGTGCATCTGTGGGAGCCTTATCTGAAAATAGAGAAAAATTTTAAAAAAAGGTAAAACTTTGGAAAATATAGCAAAGTAAAAATCAAAATTTTCTGCCAGAAAGGTTTGACTTATAAAAAAAATTTGAAAGAACAGAAATAAATATTAGTTGATGAAAAAACCATATCAGTACTTTTAGAATCAGATATATTGTATTTTTCTGCTTCACTCGCTAGGTCATCTGCAAGAACAGTTTTGATAAATATGGCTGCATCCATATTATATAATTTTAACCGCTCGAATGATAACTGAAACTTATAGTGAATAATTCTATGGAAATACTTGTAAAAAGCCAAGGGATTCTCGCGAAAAAGAAAGATCAGAAACCTTGGAAAGGAAAAAAGTTGGTGAAGAAAATTTTAAAAAGTAGTTCAAAAACAAATATTAAAAAATTTTAAAATTAAAAAATCCATTTCAAAAAAAAGATTTTTTAATTGAAAAAAGAGAACCGAATAGTCTGAGAACCACAATTAATAATGGAATAAATAAAACGTACATGATTGAGCTCCATGTTTTGCTTGAGATAATCAATACAATTCGGATTTAGATCATTTGCTAAAACGTGATGAGCACCATTTCTTACCACCGGTAAAACAAAAGGTCCGATCCCAGCACAGCAATCATAAAAAATTGATTGTTTACCAATTTTTCGCACTATTCTTTTATGTTCTGTGCTCAATCTTGGATTATAAAATACCTGTAATTGATTTGGAAGAAGTTTCACTCTTTTTGATAAAGAACTTGCACAGAATGATAAAACAAAAACGAATGCCTTTTAAAAAAATCAGCAATAACACACAAAGTCAAACTCACCATTAAACAAAAAAATCAAGGCTGAACAAATAACCTGACTAAAATCTAACTGGTAACGAAGTTTTTCCTCATGGACCTCAGTCTTGTAATGTTCTTCACCAGCTAGCAAATCAAGTTCAAATGTACGATATTTATGGCCGATTGCATCCAACTTGTTAACAACCGTCCTACAAAAGCTGAGTTTTTGATGATAATGACGTGAGTATCAAACATTGAAAAAAGGACTTTTTATGAAAAAAAATGGAAAACAAATGAAAAGAGGCAAAACTCAAGAATATAGATAATATCCTAATTTGGAAGATTTGATAGTCTGAATATATCAATCTAACTGCTTATCCATTGCGATTATAAATTGATATTTGTTCAACCTGAACAAAATAAAAATACATACTTACAGTTACTGATTTTATCGAGAAGTATTTTCCCAATAACTTTTTTGTATAAAAGTAGTTCCTCGCGCAAATTTACGTGGACAATATGACCGATTTGAGAAAAACCACTAAAGGAACAATAATTATTTTTTAAATTTCGAGAAATAATTTTTTCCAAATAGAAGTTTTCAAAAATTATTTAACATTTAGTTTAATAAATCCAACATACCTGAACTCGAGTCCCTTCGGCAAAACTGCAGTAATACATGATTTCACAGGCCAATCATCATAATTCAAGACCACATTGTAAGAATCAAATCTGGTTATAACTCCCGTTAAGTTTTCTATAGTTTTCAAAACAACATTTCTTGTATTGTCATCCATTTTTTCGGGATTAAATACAATGGCTTTCTTGTTTTCGTCTGACATATCAATGACAGGCTGAAATTTTAAAGCATTTTGACAATCTTTACCAAATATACATATGCATCCATTAGGAAATAGAGATCGTGCAATAAGTAAACATATAATCTAATTGATTAACTTAAAAGATCATAGTGACGGATATCGAGTATTTTATATATTGCCAAGTATATTAAAAAAAATTTTTAAATTCTTAAAAAGTGTACACTAAAATATTTTAAATTAAGAAATATAGCTTAATATCTCAAATCAAAGTCCTTATATATATGTTATTGTTTAAGAAGGCTGGAAAGCAAAGAGGAAGGGACAAGCAAACTACAAAAATAAACATAGAAAAAGTATTAAATTATTCAAAATTAGAGACTTTTATCTCTATACGAGTTTTTACTCGCAATTAAACAAATTACCTTAATTTTACTACAAAATCGTTCTACTGTCTTATTTGTTATTTCCTTGCATCCAATTAGTCGATTGATAATTTTCGGCGGTACAACTACAATCGGTAAAGTGATTTCTTTGCTGAAATGCAATAAAATGAATGAAGAGAACTTAATTTTTTTGCTAGTTCTCCGATTTTTTTTTGATTATCAGATTTCTTTATTAATTTTCCTAATTCGACTTTTTCCTGACATCGAAAAAAGAAACAGCACAAACAAAATTTTTTGTTGGGAAAACTCATCAAACTTACATTCCAACTTAAATGTTTGCTTTTTGAAAACTTTCACTGAATGAAATCTTTTGGTCAAAATGTTTTTACAATTTACCTTAGAAAAGCATCATAAATTTGAATTATAAATCGCACGAACTCTTCTCTTGCAAATTTACAATCCAAATTTTTTTCAGATTTTTGTATGAGTATATGAAGCTTTCTCATCAATATTCAAAATAATATTGATTAGGATAATTTCCAAATGAGAATGCAAAATTTAATATGTTTATCTAATCTGAGCACAACATTAATTTCAATTTCAGAAATGAATAGAAAAAATCATCTCATAAAAGATGAAACGGATCTCAAATTATTATCCATTACAAATCGTTCCCAACACTACCAGTCACTAATACATTGAAGTAATTTTATGAAAACAATTGGTCCAACCTGAACAATTTTTTCTCATTATCCGTAAGAACAGTAATTCCTCGAACTTTATTCGAAATAGTAAGCATCGACGATGGCCTGTTCATACGCAATCTTTCCCAAAAAATTTTGATTATGGATGAGAAGCGTACTCCCTTAGCCGATGAGAATAATTCAAAGCCATAATGCATCCAAGCCAATAGAACAAGTCTATAAATTTACTTATAGTTTCACTTCCAGTCCCAAAACCAATGATTCCGCATGCATTCCACCATACTCCCCTTATCTCTAAATTGTTCTTTTTTTCTCCCTCAGCACAAATAACTGACAATTAGATTTAAATATCATCATTCTATTAGATCGATCATTGTCTCGCACCCATTCTCATCTAATTCCAAGTTTCACTGATTGCTTCATTATTGCTCAATTGTTCAATCAATGATCCCCACAAGAATAAAATTTCGCATACTGTTTGCATCCTCTTAATATAAATCACAATATCATCCATTTCTTCGTTGTTATCACTAATACCAAACATACCACAATGACGAAATATCTGAAGAAATACTGAAATATTGTGAAAGAGCTGTAAGGATAATATGAACACTTTATGACAAGCATAAAAATTTTATGGAATAATATGAAAGAAAAAAAACATTTTATTGTAATGAAACAAGATTTAAGTAACAAGAAATGCGCATAATAGCTATCTTCAAGCTTACCGATTTTTTGAATAGGACTTAATATCGGTTACAGCACCATGAAGAAAAGTTTTCATTTACTGCGAATAGCATAGTTCTCAGAAGAGCAGTTAACACATACATACAAAAGAGCGGGATCTATATATATTTCAACCAATCAGCATTAAGAAATGAACGAAATTTTCCGACAAATTATTAGCACATTTTAACAAACATGGAAACAGCTTTACAAGTTTGCAATTATTCTTGAAATTTCAGCGTATTCAACATCTCCAACACTGATCGGTTCATCACTATAAGCTTCTGTTTTATAATATTCCACAGTTGGATTGCTAGTCAACGTCCGAGCAGTCTGATTTCCAATTACCAGTATGTGAGGAATACCTGAATTTAATAACATAATATACCAATTTGCTACGAAAAGAACTCTTTCGAATAAGTACAAAAGTCGTTGAAATATTTATTTAAAAGCAGATTCTAAGTCGACGGAAATTACTGTATCACCTAACAAGATTGCTCCAAAATTATTTTCGACATTCTCAATGCTGCTGATGTGAAACGACGCACTGAATGCACGAATACCACCCTACGCATTCTGGTTAATCCCAAATGGCCATTTACTTTATGTAAATATATTTTATTCGCCTTTTTTCTTAAAATTTTAGAATGTATGACCTAAATTTGCAGCTGCAAGTAGTCGCCTTCCAATTGAATTATCCAATCGATCGTCAACAAAAATGTCATCTTGTAGAGATGATATCTGATTGAGACTATCAATAACATCTTGAGCAAATGCCATCGTTTTGGTTTGAGTTTTGTTTGGTAGAATAACGGCCACTTTAAATGGTGTCAGTGCATACGGTAAACGAAGAGCTCTGGTACTGGATGACATTGAGTTAATTAAGGCTGCTATCATACGTCCTGAAAGTGCTTACTATTGCAACTATGTCATATTATTGTCTATCAACAAAATTTCACACAAATATAATTCTGTACAAGCAAATACAATGCAAAGCCGAATATCCTTATTCAGAAAACTTATTTAGTATTTTATTTCCTTCATTTTTGCATAAATTCATCATACAACTGTTGTACTCAATGTATGCAGATCGAATAGCCAAAAAAAGTATTTCAAATAACCATAAATTATTACCAATGCCGATTCCAAAACAGTTCATTATCAATGACTGTCCATTATGTTTTGCCCCAAACTTTTTTGTGAATAAGTCCCCTAATTGAAATGTATGAGCTATTTCAATCGTTTCAACAGTCGAAATACATTCCTCACTGCAGCAGCAAGGCTTTTCACCACGTTTTAACAAATCATGATTTACACCTGAAATTAAAGTGAAACATACAAGGAGAATGGAAGTTCGAGAAGCTATGCTTTCCTGAATTTCTAGAGAAAAGTTTTGCAAATCATAACATTTTAAGAAGCCTGTGAATTATTTAAAAAGTTTTTTTCCTCTTGTAATCAAAACAATATTGGAAACCGAAAACTCACCGAATAAAAGATCTCCGAAAAAATTTTCTAAAATCTAGATTGGTCTTTCATAGCCCTTCCCAGTAAAGATTTATCTATTCCTAAAAATATTGAATTCCAGCACTACTGATGTGAATTTTAATGGAATCGAAGATATGGTAAAAAGCTAACCTAAACTACATTTTGCGCAGTAAGCAATACTATCGCGGCCTGTCTCACATGGTAAATGATACTCGTGTGATATGTCCCCACCAATGTTTCCAGCATCGGCTCGAACAATATAAAAATTAATGCCAAGACGATCACGAAATATTCGTCGGTACGCCTGTAAAATAATATTTCCTATCTACACTGTAACTTCGTTGAAAATAAAACATGGAATTTTCTGAATGAAGAAAGCACTCAAATACAAACATGACAAAAATTACTTCCTATTATTTATAGAATTGATCCAAATGATAAATTGCCAAATTATTGGTTGAGAAAAAAGTGGTGCGGTTTCTCGATCATTCCGATAATAATTCACTTTAAAAGCTATCATAAATGCTTACTTCACTGACAAGATTGTAAGTATACGAGGCATTCTCTGCTGTTACATCAAAGGAATACAGGTCATTCATCAAAAATTCTCTACTACGAAGGAGTCCATGTCCAACAACAGTCTCGTCACGAAATTTTGGCCCCGTCTGATAAAGCATTAATGGATAAATAGTTTGTCTTAATTTACCTGGAATACGAACTCTCATTAAAATTTCCATACCTCTAAGGGAATTTCCCTACAAAGAGAAAATGAAAAACGGAAAAACAAATGCAGTGACTCATTATTTAAAGCAGTTCTAAGAAATTTTGACCAGAGAATATTCAGCAGATTTGATCAATCTTAATGAAATCTATTCCTCACATACTACCTCACTAACCAGTATTCCCATACATTAATTCACGAGGAGAACGTATCATGGCAGTTTCACTGTTATGGAGATAGAGCTACATGTGGAAAATGTTCCTTAATCATCAATATATTTTTAATTTGATTTTGACTTTTCAATATATGACAACTGAAACTTCGATAAAAATGATTAACTGTCTTAAACAACACTAAATTACATTATTATTCGTACCGTGATAAAAGTAAGTACACAAGTTTAGTATATATATATATATATGTATATATAACTGAAGCTATCACCTTGTTCAGCAACCAATTTTGTTACCATTTCTTCATGAGTTGGTTGAAGACAGAAAGCTTGATTCGTTTTATCACTCAAATGAAACATTTCTGATTCGAAAACATTCCATCGACCAGCTTTTTGCCACATTTCTTTCGCACCCAATACTGGCATACTGATTTTATGCGCGCCAATGGCATTCAGTTCAATTTCAATCACTTTTATCAATTTATCAATGATGCGCTGACCAAAAAAAAATAAAGTGGAAAGTTAAAGACTGTTAAATTCAATGTGTTTTTCAAGCAAAACTATTGCCGTAGAACATAAGTATTCAAGTTAATCATCCTAACTCTTTCCTTCCCTGTGAGAAGAAAAAAACTATAGAAAACAAGACATATTTGATCTCACTGGGGCTTCGGAGTCGTTCAACGCAGCAAATCTCTCTAAGGAATATTGTTGAAAAGTTTAGAAGATACCAATAGGAAGTATCGAATACAATCCTTTGTGCTCTTGAGCAATCAAAGCTTTGGAAAGCATAAGTTGATGGAAAATCTGGGCTGTTTTTGCTTTGACATCTAACGAGCCAAGCAGCATCGTAGATGCTCGATGCACCCTCATTTTATTTCTTTTCCTCCAAATCCTTAACTGAAGAAAGAAAATTTTAAAAACAGCATGAACTTGCCATTGAATGGCATACTGTCCATTTCTCACGTATACATGTATTCCTCTACACTTGAAAGGAAAAAACCTTGATGATTACCCATCGTATCTTACTTTATAGATAAAATATTTTTTTAGTTCACGTATCATATTCCATATATTTCGTGACGTGCTAACAAACTTTACCCAACAACGAAATGAAGAATAAACTTGTCGTCAATTAAAAATAAAAAGGTTTTTTTTCAACATTTATTAGATTAACATTTTGGCCACGGAAACGACACAGGAAAATATATGTCATATTAACACTTTAATGTATAATTTTCTCTCAACTAATCAATCATCGGCACCACATCGACCTTTGCCGAGGTCAAGTCCTAATGCTCAACTGCGCATGCCAGAATCTCCAACGCCACTTCATCTACATAAAACATTGACATAGCCCTCATCTCGCGGCCCGTGAATTTCAGTGGCGACGGTTTTGAGTAACATCAATTAGCTCTACCAAACAGTAAAAGTTTTATGTATTTCGACGTAATTTCTTTGACTTCGTCCTATTCACGTTATCTGTCACTTTAAACACTATTTAAAAACTTTCACTACTGAACTTGAAATGGAATAATATTAGAAAAAGTTCAAAACTTTTTCTCATCATTTCTCCAATCATTATCAATTACTGCTTCAAAATGAATAACGGATACTATTTCCTTTCCTGTTTCATTTCTTATGGAAATTTTTTACGAATGCTGTAAATTTCTATTGAATCGATGTTGTAAAGATATGAACCATATAGTAATACAGAAATTGAAATCACTGAGGTAAAAAATACACGTGTGTGAAAAAACACGATTAAACTTTATGTAAGTTTTAGATTCATACCATATGAAAGTTTTTTCCAAAAAAAAAAAATCCAAATTTAAACAACGCAACATTCGTATTTATACATCAAATAAAGATGAATTGGTGAGAAACTATAAATTTTATTTATTTAAAAAGAAAAAACATTTCAATCAATCGATATCTGAAATATAAGTCATAGTTGAATGCTATTCCAAAAAAGTTGTTATTAAATGGCGGAGGTATTCGTAATTTTATTATTTTTTCTTTTCTGGCGAAAATTACCATGCCGATATGAACAAAAGTTGGAAAAAATAATTATTTTATTTGAAACTTACCTTAGTTTATTTGGTAAGAAATTTCCAGTTGATTTGAAATTTTAGTTAGTAAAATTAATTTATGACAAAACAAGGCAACGACTTATTATTATCAAAGTACAAAACTGGTAAAATGAAATTCCGGTAATCCGTGAAGAAACGCCGTCACGAAGCCACATATTTTCATTCTCTCTTGTATTACATTCTGAAATTTTGTAAGTTTTATTTTCAATGATATCGACAATCAAATATTTTGAAGGTACTAAAACTCATTTCACGTTTTATCTTCCTTGCTACCGTATGGGATGCTTCTGCTGATGGTAACACGTTTAATTAAAGAAGTGACACGTTTAAAAGATTGCAAAGATATAAATGAATAAGTTGAATTTTGTTCAGTAACGAAATCAATCATACAATTATCTTGAATCACTTAATTTATTATGCAGTTTTTCCATTTCAACAGTCCTGCTAATATCTTATCATGATTAGATCATTCTTTTGGATCCTATCTCATTGATCTATTTCATAAAAAGTAACAATGAAATACTCTAAATTATGATAAAATCTTACTATGATTTACAACAGCTTGGGCTTCGGAGAGCAAATTGCAAGATTTCCCATGTACGTCAACAATAATCTTATGACTGCTACTTGTTATTTCATCATTAAGTACGAATGCTTTACGCGTCACTTTGTTATACTTTGGCCATTTTGGTCTGGGGGCGCTGTAAAAGCGTATAGAAATCAAATTCTTACAGATATCATTATCAATAATATCAATGATAACTGGTAATAAATCTTTCAATGCTTGAAAGAACGAACCCTTCAATAGCAAAAGTAGCCCAGTACTTCATGATTGCTTCCGAGAAACGTTTCTCAGAATCGACCTGTGATTGTGCATATAGATGGCTATGCCTGAATGGCTGTCCAAACACATATTCAATTTCGTAACCATGCATTACTCCCATCCATTTTGGCCATGGATTCGCTGAAGATCTGAAGCAGAAGAAAGTAATGAATCTGAAAAAAATAATAACTAATGATTGAAAAAAAAACAAAAATAATTAGAATTAAGACAAATTAAGTTTATTATGACATTTCCACTCTTCTAGTTTCGAACAAAAGTGATTTTTATAAGTCTTACTTTAATTTTCCCACCTTCTTTCAGAAATCAAAGGATCATTTGCTCTACTAATTCAATAACATCTAAAGAAAGAAATTTAAATTGAGATTTGAAATACTTGAGGAAAAAATTTTAATTGAGACTTGGAATACCTCTCTGTAAAATAATACATATATACGGAACCATAAATATTATCTGCTAGAATATCAGCAAATTCAATTAAGCTGCACGTAAAAAAGAAATCTCCAATAAAGCGTGCAACGCCATCACGCAGTCTTTCTTGTGGATCCTTGCTTTCCGACACCTAGCAAACACAGGGTAAGATAAACATTAAAAATTAGAAAGGATTGAAACAGCTAAAAAATTACCTTGCGCATACGCAAATCAGTCATTAATTCAATAAAAATTAAATCAATTAAACTGACCTCTTCATATGCATGCAACAGTGCATGCTTCACTAATTGAGAATCATCAAAATATGGTATAAACGATTGGATTGAACAAGTGTATTGTGCTCTGAAATAAAATTTTTATTAAATTAAAAAATTTTTCTTAACGTAAATGCCCATTAATTGGATGTTCCTCAGATCTAAAAAAAAAAGATAAATGAGATGAAGAAATAGCAACATTCATTTCCATTTTTTTTCATTTCAGTTCTATTCATCATAAATGTAGAAAATAAAAAATATGAATAGGTTGATCGAAAAGAAAGAAATAAAATAAACCTATTAATTAATGCTCGATTGGTAGGATCATCAGCAGATATGGTATGATTGAACTGGAAACCCATTTTAGGATTGAGAAAATAATAAGGCAACCAGTAAGTGCCTTCATCTTTCATCGAACCAATCAATACGCTTATATTCTTTGTAAAATCGCGCATTTTCAATTTCGTAAATATATTACCCTTAAAAAAACTACCAAATTAAGCACAAGCTATCATATTGATTTTATCTGAATGTTTATTTGGCGCAACTATGGCCTAAAATAACTATAGGTTCATATTTTAGCATTTCAAGACAAAGATCTGAAGAGTGCAGTGTTGGCCAAGAGAAGAAGTGATGATGGCCAAGAAATACTTGAACACCTTATATCTTGAAATTTTGAAAAAAAAAAGGAGAAAAGAATTACAGTTATAAGGCATTATTGCAACAGAAAATATAGTTGCGCCTTTAGCGAAGCACAAAGCTAACCGAATGAATGATTCGTTAGTTTCGAACCTTGAAAAAATGTTCATCTTCTTCGACAGGCACAAATGGGAAAGTCATCGGTAGGGCCTGATCCACGCCAACAGCATCCGCTGCTTTCTGCAAATGCAATTTGTTTAATTCAGATTAATTTTTATTTACACATACTTCTTTACACTCATCCATATTTGAAGTTTGAAATAACGTGACGCATACCAACTTTTAAGCTTGATTGACTCATCGAATAGTAATCGTACCTGTGCGGCTGAAGTTTTACTTTTTGTTTCAATTTATTTTATTTCAGCAATTCATTGTTACTAACTATTACTTTGGCAATAATTAATAAGAAGATTCATAGAGTAATCTATAAAGTTTGCTAATATTTCACAATTCAGCATTTATTTTTTTGAAACATTTATGAAATTTCTAATTTGAAAAACTAAATTTGAAATTGCGCTGGGGAAACTCACAATTATTTTCAGTTCCAAGAAACTGTGGAAATCGGCTGTCTGGGGAGGGGTTTAATTCTCAGAGAAAAGAATCAAATCATCAAAAGGTTAAAAAAAGGTAAATTACCTGTATGCTTGCAGCAGGTGCTTGCCGAATACACTTTGCAATCAAATTGACATCCGAAATTTTGCCGTGCCCAGCAGTGCAATTTAATTTATCTGCCAAAAACATCGCCGTTTGTAATGCCATATTTTTCTCTTTTATGGCCCATGAATTCGCAATTGTACCGCTCTGTAGCAATAAAATTTGTAAAGCTTTTTCCTTCAGTTAAAGGATTTTTGAATAAATTTTGAAGTAAATTAAATTGAACTTTAAATCAAATCTACTCACCATAAGCACTGCTCTCCGAAAATAACGAAAGCTTCCGGGCGCAAAGAAATGTGCCGTCACTGATGCTGCACCTGCGCTTTCCCCAAATAATGTTATCTGTAAAATTTCCTTTTTTTTGTAATTTGATTCTATTAATTCAAATTTACATTTCAGCATTTTGATCTATTAAACTATTTAAAACTAACAAAAAAATTTGATCATTTTTAAAAATACCTTATTTGGATCACCACCAAATGAGGCAATATTTTCGTAGATCCATCGTAAAGCAAGTTGCTGATCCATTAGACCCATATTACCGGGTATCGATGATCTGTCACCAAAATACAGGAAACCAAATGGTCCTAGCCTAGAATAGGCAAAAAATTAGGTGTTACCATTAACGAATAGCAATAATTTCAGATGATTTAGCATTATAACAATTCTTGAAAGTTATTTTCATTAAATGTGAGCAATATATTCGAGAAATTTTATTTCAGTTTATGATAATATATTGATTCATAATTAAATAATCAAATAGTGCCAGACTTCTCATCAGATTAAAGATGTCCGTTGTTCAACAGAATTGCAAAAAAAAAGTAATAATTTCTTTTTTCCATTTCATCTCATTTAAATTTTATATCAAAAAAGGCTAGTAGCCTTTTTTTTTTTTTTTGAAAGATTAGAATATAAAGCAAATTGAAAGAATTTTCGATCATCATAAATTAATATTACATTTTAATATTTTACCTGTAATTAATATTAACAACGATTATCTTTTGACGACTTGCGAGTACTCGTCCATCATAAAGATCCAAAGATGGTGAACCGGAATAGAAACCACCACCATAAATCCATACCATTACATTTCCGTCATGTTTCTCCGGTACCCACATATTCAACGCCAAACAATCCTCATCGTATACCTACTCATATCCACACAACAATAAGAAAATCTTTAATATTCTTAGGATTAGATCCATCAATCAATAACTTAGTAGCCTAATAGCCCAATAACTTAGTAGCTCGCCATCGTTCAATAACATTATTTTTTTAATTTGACTGAAGTTTGTTGCCAAATATTCCGTTTAAGCATAATTGATTTTGAATAAATAATTAATGCACAGTGGTGGCATTTTAATTTGAAGAACACACTTAAAATATCTGTCAAATTAATTAATATGATTTCGTTATAATATTATTAGTATATTTAATTATTTTCATTATTGGTTTACTTTTCAACTTCTATTAAACGAAAATTAAACTTTAAGTTGTTCTTTTTTTGCATAATTAAGTGTAAGAAATATGGACCAAATAAAGAATACATTTGGTGGATTCCACATTTCGGCTCCAGGAAATTGCGGGAATTGACTGTCTGGAGTAATGTAGCATGTTCGAGCAGGTTTTTGGGCTTCCAATTCACCTTGCCATGGTTCAACCATTTCAGGCAATGCAAATCTTCGATTACCGATAGGTGGCTGGGCAAATGGAATCCCGAGGTAGGCATTTACAAATATATCATCCAGTTGCTGCAATTAAACTAACTTCAATTTGAATACATTTAGAAACAGGCTTATCTTGTGCAAACAAATCCAGTTTATGGACAAAGATTTGTTGGTATCTACCGGAATACTCAACAATCCTTTTCATACTGGCATTATGAACATATCAATCATCATAATATACAAATATTCCTAAATACTTTCTTAGAATTAATTTTCAGTCTCATAAAATGCACTTTTTCGCCCTATTTTCTCATAAATCTTATCTAGCAACATTTGCTTACTAGAATGTTAGTGTGTTTTTTAGCATTTCTATTGGTATCATCAAACTTCTTCTCTATCATTTAAAACATCACATGAAGCATATCTTATCATACCACCCTTCAAACATTCC